TCTTCAGTCTGAGAGTTTCAGGCTCTTCAGTCTGAGAGTTTCAGGCAAAAGAGTCTGAGAGTTTCAGGCAAAATTCAGGCTTTATGAAACTCTCAGACTGAAGAAGTCTCTTGGAAGAGAGACGAAACGTTTCATTAAAGAAGAACCCGTCCAGAGGACCTATACAATTTTTTTCCTTTGATTTTTTACCTGGATTACTGAGATGCATCAGGATAAATTTAAACTGAAACATTCCTCCAGTGGGAATTCCCTGATAGAAAGTGGGAGAGTTCAGAAATCAAGACGGTAGCTACTCAGCACAACTCATCAGTGAGTAAAACTCTTATTTTTACTTGTAATAGTATTTCTGTATAAGTTATTTCACATTTAGTCAGCCATACACGTAGTACTTTTCACTGTTTAAAAGAGGACATGTTAAAACACTCTTTCTATATAGGAAATACCAGGTAGAGCTCACTTTTTGTTTGTTAGCTCATCTGTAGCAATAAGTTGAATGTGATGTTTGGTGTTTAGTGGAAGTTAAACACAAAACGTCAAAGTTAATGGCCCTTTGAGGGCCCCCATAACGCTCATGTGACCCTGGATGAAAATGAGTTTGACACCCCTGAAGATGCAGGATAGTGGCCCTCATGGACCAGGATTGTACACTCTGCCCCGGTGTAGACATTACATTTTTGCAGGTCAAAGAATTTGTGAAACTCAGCAGCAAGATACCCTGCTCTGTTAGTCATTATTAGTTTATCATTATTTAGTGAGCATCATGTGCTAAAATGTTGGGATCCTTCAGCAGAAGCACCGTCTTGCTGAAGCAGAGGCTAATGTTTGGGTTAGCAATACTGGTGCATTTTTAACATTTTAAAGAAATGGTCCAGAGGAAATTAAGTTTCTCTGGAAAAGTTTTGATCAGTTAATATATTTTATCTTGTAGATAGCTCTTTGAAAGATATCTGTATACAGTATTTATGTTTGACTGGACTGAGACGCTAATGGCTAGCTCAAGAGAAGCCTAAACCTGCCATCCTAAAACAACTCCGATCTCAAATATTTTTTATCAAATGCTATTTTATAATTATCATTTTAGTCCCACTTAGCCATTAGCATGTTAATCTGATCAGAATGAAATTTATATTTTTCCTAATCTTTAAAGGGATAACTACAACAGGTAAACTACTTTTTGTTCATAATCTTTCCACATAATGTCACTTTAACTAAATCAATAGCTACCATTATTTAAAAAGCCTACAATTTCAAAACCAGAAACACTGAGTTGCCCATTTCTTTGTTTTGTGCCAATTAAAGCTGCTTAATAAACTATAAATGCTGTTATAATGACGTTCAAGAGGTAAACTCAAATAGTTTTAAATAGGTCATCATTAAAAGCACAGACTGTCTCAGGGTATAGCTGCGAGAACAATATCCAAAGTAAAATATCTAAAAACAAATGGGTAGCACCTAGGACTTCAAGACAAAGTTGATTAACCTCATTTTCAACATTTTATTTTAAGGACTATGTAAAAAAGAGTCGCTAATATTTGTCAAAACGTTAACATAGTTTTTTTTAAATTCCATTTTCAAACATTTTACCTTGAATTTTTGGGATGTTTCTTACTGAACCCATCCGGTGATATTGCATTTGCATTAAAAAAATAATGAATGCGTGGCCATGTCTCTTTGTGAGGGTTGTTGTAGCTGCAGATGGAAATACAATACACTATTTTTGTTTTTAACTGTTCAAAGGTGCCCTACACTTATTATTATTCAGAAACAAATTCCTTGTGTGTGTCAACATACTTGGCCAATAAACCTGATTCTGATCTGATTTTGATTATTTGTTGAATCTGAAGAGTATACCTTCATGGTTCAATCTAAACGATTCATTTTTCATAGCACCAGTATGTATGAGATGACACTGAACGCCATAAGTGTGTGTCAGGTAACACTTTGATCCTGAATGTGACATAATGTAACTCCACTCTTTCCATGGCAAAGATGTGGTTGGAGAAAAGTGTGTTTTGAGTGTTGAGCTTTAAAAAAAAAGTTTTTTGAACAAAGAAAACTCCAGTGATCACCTGTGTCTTAACCTCTTGAGCCCCGTGCTCCCAGTTACCAGGGGCAAAACAACATTTTCCGATTTCTATTTCTTTTAACTTCTGTTCAAGATCAGTCAAAGAAACAGAAAACAGAAAATGCTGTTTGCCCCCAGGGGCGTGCTAAGAATTACTTCATGCCTAACTACAAGTGACAGAAGTATGCAGTTCATTCCTATAAAATGAAATGTCCATGTTAACGATCAACAGTCTCTGCATGGAAATGACTAATAATTATCTTGTGGTCACACGTTATTATCCCGTTTTGTTTTGACGGGCTCCTCAATATCCAACCAGATGATACAAAAAGGAGAGAACTAAAACAGAAACAACATTCTGTGCAGACACTGAAGCTTGCTGAACCTCGTAAAGTAGTGAAGTTACATTTTGAGTGAACCCAAAAGTCTCCCATCCTGTCTCTGACTTATAAATAAAAACCTCACACATGTACTACGTGTGTTGGGAAACTCAGTAGAAGGTTATTTTTAAGTACTTTCTACTGAGTTTCCTATTAATGCCTTACAATTCATGTTTTGGTGAGATTTTCATTCACTTTAGACGTTTTTTTTTTTTTTGTTTTGTTTTTTTTACTTGAGTGCTGACATATATTAACAAAAAAATAAGTTAAATAAATAAATAACTTAGATACGACTTTTAGGGTTAAAAAAGTGTAAACTTTCACAAAATAGAAAACAAACACATTTGAACCATAAATTATAAAGGTGGAGTCATGCGTTTGTTCACGGGGGGCTGCATACAGTTAAAAGTCTTACATTGTATCTTACAAATAAAATAAAGTTAGATATTTCTCATGTGGCATGGAATGAATATTTACATTATTTTTCATTAGTATTTGATGCATTCGTGTGTGGAGGATCGTGGCGGACCCTCCCGGAGTGAAGGTTAAAGTGTTTAAAAGGTGGAGGGTCTTCTTGTGCGAGCATGTGCATCAGATGGAGGGTTTTTGCTGAACTGGCGCAGTGGCTAAGGTTACCATGGTACCTATTTTGCCTAGGACACCCCTACTTAACTGAAAATGACACATATATGTGATGTCACAAGCTGCCAGAATATCTAACGTCAGGTTATGACAAATGTTCTATGTCATTTGATGCAGGTTTGCCCGCCGACAAACTCATGAGACCCCGTAAGTGGACTTGTCTGAGTGGTGTGGTGGGTGTGAGCCCCTCATGGTGACAGTAATGTACAGCACTGACAGATTGGTGGACGCCTGTGGTGGGAGCTGGAGGTCTTTGCTTGTGTCCCGTGATCTACGGAGGTCCTGTGTGGGGTATCTGAGGTGAGCCCTGATAAGGATGAGACGGCGACACCCAGGCTCCGGCGCTGGGGGGGCGGCTGGGCTCTCCGCTGCCCGACTGGTCCAGCTCAGCACTGTCGCAGTCCGAGTCGTCGCACAAGGCCCGGCTCTGAAAAAAAAAAGTTTATACACCATTCAGATTAGATAGTGAGCGTTTTTTTATTTTTTTTTATTTTTTTTTGACTGGAACTAAAAATATTAATTCAAGGTAATCCTCTGAGGTGGCCATGTTACATTTATTTAGCGTTTATTTATTTATCGTTATTTAACCAGGCAAATCCCATTGAGATCACAGATCTCTTTTGCAAGGGTGGTCTGGGCCTGAAGGCATGTTGTGCAAGTTTTTGGTCAGTGAGGGAAACCGGAGTACCTGGAGAAAACCCACACAAGCACGAGGAGAACATGCAAACTCCACACAGAAAGACCCCAGGTCCACACCAGGGATTGAGCCCTGAGCTTGTTGCTGTGAGGCGTCAGTGCTAACCACTGATCCATCGAGCTCCAATGGACAGTTTGGTTTTGTCTTTTCAGATGACGTGTGGATTAAATCATGCCGATCAAATTAAAAAAAATTTCTTTGAGAAAAAACTTGAGCTAAAATAATGGAGTTATCCAAAAGGTGGTGACCATAGAAGCTTTCCAAAAATAAGACCTTGTGTTGGCGTGGGTTGTCTATGAAAAACACTATATTCAAACATAGGGTGGTCCACAAGTGAACTTGGTACCTTAGGCCAATGTTGATCAATTTTGTGATCTTGTCATCTGACCTGCCGCTCGATGTTTGGACATTTGGCTAAAGAGAGGGGGCATAGCTTCCATCTAATCACCACCTGATGGTGAGTTGGATCCAGTGGTAGGGGAGGCTGCAGAAACCCAGACAAATGGTGAGTTTCAACTGTGGCCTTCTGCAGGAGCCTCATGTCCGTGAAGTTCTCAACTCAAACCTCCAAGAGAGGTTGTCACATGTCCTGGGGGGAGATCAGGGACAAGGAATTCAAATGATCCATGTTCAGGGCCTTCCAGGAGCTGCTAGGGTTGCCACCCCTCCCTTAAAACACGGAATCATCCTTTATTTGGCCAATAAATGCTGCGTCTTGTTTTGAACCAATGCAGGACGCGTTTCACAATGTCCAATGAACATGTCCCTCTCATTCACACCAACACTTAAAAAGCCCCTCCTCTCCTCCCCCCAGCTCCTCTCCTCTGTGTGCTGCTGCCTGCGTGTGCGTCTGCTCTCACTACACTGTTCATACAACCTGCGCCTTTTAAAAATGTCCGCTACACTCAATATTCCACCACGTCCTCAGAGCTAAACGCTGACGAAAGTCCAGACATGACATGAGCAAGAAGAGGAACATTGTCAGCGTCAGTGGAGATGATTACAAGACAAATAAACAAAATAACTTGGTTACAAAAATACAAAACAACACGAGGGAGTCATGGGGTTTGAACAAATATAGGCTGCAAGCAAATAGGTTATTAAGATAAAATAAGTCCACATAAAATCAGGAACTCCAAAATGAGAACATGTCATTCATGGTTTATGTGCCTTTTGATTATTATAGAAATGAATTGAATGCATTTAATGTGTGAACTCCGTCAGCTGACAAATTAGTTTTTGTTTTTAATCCTATATGTGAAACTTGTCCAGGATGATTAGCAAATTAATAGAAAAATTCTATAAAATCATTTTTAGACTTTGCTAAAGCTAAAATAAAACAAGTTTCCAGTTTAACTTTAGGTCAGGAGATATTTTTGAGTTTTATCACTTAGTTACAACCTTAATGGAGTGAGGACAGAACCGGACAAGATGAGTGACATCTTCCACAGAGAAATCTGTCAGATTTAAACCTTTGATAGTTTTCTTTGCCAGGGTAAATCCTGTATATGTGTTTTAAGGACTCTTCTTTTTGTTTGTTAGAAGAAAAAAGATGTCTTACACCAGTCACTCTCACAGAGCAGAGCAACACTGCAAACGTGTAGCTAAAAACACAGTGGAGCCAAAGATCAGAGTCAAAGTGTTTCAGACTCAATCATCTCTGAGACTGATACATGGACATTAGGTTGGGACTGACTTATTATCTGCTATTTTACCAGAAGATGTCAGTGAATGGATAGAACACATTTAAATTAATGTTTGGTTGAATGTTTAGGATGTTGAGTTTTTGAAGTTGAATGAAGGACCCCATCAGTCTTATAAGATTTCATGTCATTTATGACGTGTTTTGTTTTTAAAGAGATTTTCTTTTTTTTGTTTTTCAATGAATGAATAAACAACATAATTTATAGCATTAGCCAATACAAATATTTTATATGGCCATTTAAAAAACAAACCTGCTAATGGATTAAGAGTTAATAAAGACATTTGTTTAAAAACTGTCTTGTGAAACTTGAGCATGGGAGGAATTAGGAGAATTTGTGGAGAAGGACTTTGGCAGGAGGTTCTGGCAAAATGTTTGGTGACTCAGAAAGGGAAAGCAGGCCTCGTCCCAGGCTGTGTTTGGTCTGGATGGAAATGTTGACCCAGACTGGTGATAGTGTTAATCTGGAGAACCTTGGAGAAAATGGGCACATCCCGAAGGTTTTTTCCACTTTCCCTCTGCTGCTGGGAAGCATTCGATAACTTTCAGTGTATCACCAGATTTTTTTTATTTAAATTTCCCCCCTAGAAAATTGAGAATTACAGCGGGTAAAATAAGTATTGAACACGTCACCATGTTTCTCAGTACATATATTACCAGAGGTGCTAATGACATGAAATTTTCACCAGATGTTGGTAACAACCCAAGTGATCCATACATACAAAG